TGGACTACGTCTGAATCGTATTCGCAAATAGCATGATCGTTGATCTCTGCTACTGCGTTGGACGCAGTGTTGGCGTAAGATTTCCCTTCCTGATCTGAGCTTTGGGTGACGTGGTTTACCCTTTGCTGTTTTCTAGGAGCGCCTGTGCGCTCAGACGTTGCCGGTCTCCTATTCTGATAGGGTGGAGCTTGGGCAGGAATGCCAACTTTTGCAGAGGGGTCGACTTCCATCGGCTCCGGTCTATTCTGCCATTTGTTATTGTGCGGGTCAGAATGTACCTGCGCTTTAACTTGTTTGGTATAATGGGGATTTTTATTAATACCAAACTGGGGGTCTGTCTGGGAAAAATTTCTATCCTGCTGGCGCTTTTGCTCCTTTGGACTCGTCTTACGGTCCCTATCCTCTAGACTCTTTGCAAACGATGTTGCGAACGTGTACCTTTCGTGGTTTGATTCCACTTCTTGCGCTAATGCCAATGCAGTCGGCATGTCCCTCGGCTTTGCCGAGAAGAGGACATCAGATAGGCTGCGTCTAAGGCCCGAAATAAATACGCGGAGCGCATCGTCCCGGAATTTATTACACAGAATTCTTGCCGCCGATGTCTCATACGACATCGTGGCTTTATTTGTGAGTAAGGTGAGTTTTTTCTCAACCTCATCGTAATATTGCAGGAGTGTAAGGCTTCCCTGTCTGAGTGTGCCCATCTCCTGTTCAATTACGTGGATCTGCCGTTTGTCACTGTAAGTGAAATCCAGACGGTCTATGATCGCGTCAAAATTTAAAATTGTGCCAAAGGATGACAACACTGCGTCAGCAGGGCCTCTTATTTTACTTCTTATGATAATCACTGCCTGATAATGGCGTGAACTACCATTGTGTCGTCTAAATATGTGGTAGGCTGCGGTGGCGGCTTGCCTCCACGAAACATATGCCTCCTGTGCCCCCGCAAACTCGGGTAGGCACTTGACAGCGTCCAGGGGCTCGCTGCATTGAACTGTGTCATTAATTTCTATGGCTGCATAAACCTTAATTTCTGACGCTGGGGCCGAACTTCGGGGCGTCGCAGCGCGCAATTCCGCCACTTGGCTGGTTAATGTATCGATTACTTGTCTCAACTCTTGTTCTCTTTGTAAATTCGCGGCGGCCTGTCCGGCCAGGGCGTTGTCAATAGCCGCCTGCACTACTAATCTAAGCTGTTCAGGATCCATGATGTCTACCGTTTTGCCCGCTGGGGAGTTTCCGCGCGTGTTTTTTGGAGTGGAAGCTCGAAGGAGTTCTTCACTATCTGACCCTGAATCGCTAGCGTATTGCTTAACGCTTCTATACTTAGAAAATGGCGAGCTCATATACGCACATAAAAGGATTAGAAAACGGGGACACAGAGCCGCCAAAATGAGAGCTCGTATAATTCACCTAGTTAATTTTAAGGGTAGTAGATACCTGTGCCCTTGCATAAAAATTAGTGTAGTGTTGAATGTACAAAAATTACAATATTGAAAATTATAAGAGATATAGGGTAAATAAGACTGACACATAGCCTCGACTCATAGCCAAAATATTCCAAATAAGAAAAATTAATGAATTTAACGTAATATTTTACATATTTCATTTTTGTTAACCAAATCCCGAATTTTATCGGGCTCGGAGTCGCTTTACTCTCGTATTATTTTTTATTAATCAGTTCTACTCTGCAGACTGGTTAGAAAATATTTGAATGGGGTGCACTTACATTTTATGTACTGTGGTTTCTTCCTCAAAGATAAAAATTTTTCCTCCAAGAATGTAAAGTTATCTAAGCGAAACCGTTGGGTTTTTATCGTTGAGCGCCAATTAATATATTTGTGCGCGCGGCCTGAGGTGGTCCTCGATGGTCGCACTGTCTAGGGTGGTCTTCTTAGAGATGAATTAATTTGGTTGATGGGCGCGGCCTGAGGTGGTCCTCAGCGGCCACACTATTTAGGGTGGTCTTCTTAGAGATGAATTAATCTGGTTGATGGGCGCGGCCTGAGGTGGTCCTCGGTGGCCGCACTGTCTAGGGTGGTCTTCTTATAGATGCCCGCTTGTGGGCGCGGGGGAAGCGGTCGCTTTTGGGGAGCGCCCGTTATAGTCAATTGGCAGCCAGCAGCTAGTGGTTGCCCCCCTTGGGTGCGGGGGAATGCGTTCGCACTCACACGTGAGGGTAGGCCGCTGGAAGCTGCTGCTTGTAATTACCTCCCGTAAACGCGGGAGGAATTTGTGTACCGCTGGTCGCACCTGCTGAAGCCCGCTCGGTAGTGCGGGGGAGGAGGGGGCCTTGACTTGGTACTCGTATGTGGAGATCGGGGATCCCTTGCTGCAGTCAGAGCCGGATAGCTGTGCCTTCACAATTGCTGATTAGGTTGACTTATGTTGGGAGGTAACTGCCCCCTTCGCCTGCTGGCCTAGAGACTCAGTCAGTGCAAAATAATAAGAGATATTTAACGGCGGTTGCCGGCGTTCTTCAATACTATAGAACTTGTGTTCTTTATTCGTACCGCATGAAGCGAACGGAAGCGAAGAAAAGAAAGATGGCGACATACAGTGTGGCCGGCCTTAAACATCGATTATTTTCTTAGCGATACTTTTCTAGTGTGGGCGTATGCGAACTAAAATTAGAGTTGACAAAAACGAAACTCATAGCGGCCACGCAAATATGCTGTGTTTGCCGGCTATGCACGAGCATACGGCCAAAAGCCGCGTCAGCGCTTTGACCGACCAGCTGGGCTTCGGACATTCGGTCATCGCCTCCGTCCGGTTAGCTACTCAGTTAACTTATTTTCTTTTTTTTTGTTTTATTTTATTATTCTTTTTCCCCTTTTTTTTTTTTTTCCCTTTTGTATTTTGTTTTTTTTTTAAGTATAAAAAATAAATATTTTTTTTTTTTTTTTTTTTTTTTTAAATTTTTTTTTTAAAGGGCTTGTTTTGGGGGGTTTTAAAAATTAATAATTTTTTTTTTTTTTTTTTCTTCCAATATTGGGGTTTTTAAAATTTTAATTTAAATTTTATTTTTTTTAAATTTTATAAAAAAGGTAAAGGGTTTTTTTAGTGGGGGTTTCTCTCCTATAGCGTTTCTCCTTGTTATAACCGTTACTCGTAGAGTAAAAGGGTATATTAGATTCGTTGAAAAGTATATAACAGGTCGAAGGAAGCTTTTCCGACCCTATACACAATTTTAAAATATTCATTTTTCTATTGGAAATTCCCAAAGCGCCAATTACATAAATAAACGCAGCGAAACTAACTAAAAAACGTTGAGAATAGCACACAGAAGCTTGCTCCGAAGTACATTTAAAGAAAGAATTGCGGATTACCGTTGAATCCAGAAATAGAACTGAAGAATGAGAAGTGTTCAAATAATTTTTGTGCGTAAAAAGCACTTTTTTTGTGTTTTTGAGAAAATTATCTATTATTTAAGTTAAAACTTATAATTTTATATTTGAAATATATGCTCGGAATGTATATCTTTCGTTTGAAATGTTACATTTTAATTTCTGTGACTCTTGAGATATTAAAGAATATGCTTTCCACTCATGGGTGTAGGGAGAAATAATGTACCGACTGTATATTTTTGTAAATACCTTTCGATCTACCAAAAATGTTAAGAATCGGAGCAGTAATTTAATATTTTAAAGAAACGAACGAAACATATATGTCGGAATTTGAGTATTCTCCTCGATTGATTCCATATCAATATCACGGGCCTTGCGATTTCTTGGCTACGACATCTTTTTGTTTTTAACACGACTTGCTCGCTTCAGCTTTCAATCCTCGACTCCTCAATTTCTCAACCAGCGTCTCTGATCGTGTTGTTCTATCGCCTTCTCGGTTATGCACTATAACCATCTCCCTCTAACGCATTGTCGCACGACAAAGGCTACGCAGAACAGAAAACTCTTTGGGCGCGCGATATCACACACAAAAAACAATGCAGGACAGAATATCATGAAGGATTGTCAAACTACGCATTATATTATATTCACATGTTATTCTCTTTATACTCGTGTATCCGTTGGCGCTGATAACTCACCACAGAGGCTTGTCCAACAATGTCCGGAATCTCACATTGAAATCCATCAATTTTTACTAGTGCTTGGAATCCTCCAACTCATCTACATCGTTCATATTGACGCACTCACATTGGAGTCCACCAATGTATCTCTAACGTCTCTTTCAACGTCTTGACTCTCATTGGAATCCACCAATGGATATGCAACGTCTAATTCAACGTTTTCACTTTCGTCGCTCAAATCAAACTCTTTGGGTATCTCTTCTATTGGCATATATCCCAAAGCTTCATGCGGGAACTTATAAGTCCGCTTATTTACCAAGGACTTTAAAATATACCGATATCCCTCCAACACCTCTGTCACAAAGAATGGGCCTTTGAACTTTGCATTTAACTTTGTTTGGTGTCTTTCTTCGTTTTTGAGCAGTCGCCAGTTGTAAATTTAATTGGTTTTGTTTTTTTTTATCGAAACGAGTCTTATTATAAATAGCATTTTTATACCCGTTACTCGTAGAGTAAAAGGGTATACTAGATTCGTTGAAAAGTATGTAACAGATAGATAGAAGCATTTCCGACTCTATAAAGTATACATATATCTTTATGAACGCTGAGATCTCAGGAACTATAAGAGATACAAAGTTGAGATTAACCATGAAGATTGAGATACCTACGCAGCGCAGTTTATGACAGCATCCTGCGACGCCCACTCTAACACCCACAAATCGCGGAAAACTAAAATCACTGATATCTCAGGAACTATTAGAGCTGGAAAGACCAAAAATGCAAAAATCTCGGTACCTATAAAAGCTAGAAAGTTAGGCTTTAAAAAACGTATTAAAGAGATGCCACTGCAACTTGCCACGAGTTTTCATCCGCCCACGCCCACAAACTGCGAAAAACTGTGGCGTCTAACATATTATTATAAATGCCTTTTTTTTTAAATCGGAACATTATTTCTCTATCTATGAAGCAACTAAGGCCTCTTGTTCTTTATGTTTTCTTTGGCTATTTCTTCGCATATTGGTTACATATTGAAAGGTCTTGCCTCTTTTCCAATGGAGGTTTGGCCGTTATATAGGTATGCAATTATCTACAAATTTTTTAACATACTTCGCATTGTTCTCAAACCAATATTATTCTTACATTTTGTCTAACGTTTTTGCTACTGACCATCTAAACGATCTGGAGATTACTCGAAGCGCCCAGTTTTTCTGTTTCTCTGAATTTTTTTTTAAACCATCTTTGAGCGCTTCTCGTATGTATTTGCTACACGCTCTTTAAGCTCATTATTCTGCATCTTGGAAATAATTAATATAGTCTCTGAATCTTTTAGTTTTTCAGCTATGAGCCACTTATCTGATTGTTGGCGAATTAAGTGGTCTGTATTTCTTTTTTCTAGGATTCGAGTTTATTTCTTAATTATAAGCGGGTTTACAATATGTTAAGCGGGGCAAGTTGCGAGCGGTTGCGAGCGAGTACAAAAACTATATATATTAAGCGGGACAGGTTGCAAGCGGTTGCAAGCGAGTCAAAAAGTATATATAAAGCGGGGTAAGTTGCAAGCGGTTGTGATCGAGTCAAAAACTATATATAAGGCGGGGCAAGTTGCAAGCGGTTTCGATCGAGTCAAAAACTATACAAATAACTGCCGAAAAAATGTGCAGAAAAGATAATGCAGAAAAACGCGTGATACTAATGCAAATTTACTCCAATTTCGTCTATGCGTGTGAACTGCAAGCTTGGAGACGAAAAACAAAACAATGATGTGCATTTAACTAGCTACGATTAAAACAACAATACAATGATGAGCATTTAACTAGTTGCGATTTGACAATAATACAATAATGCTAAATGACCGATCTATTCTTCAACATACCGGCCCCCCTGATCGACGGTTCAGTTCAAAGGAAGCACAAATTCGGAATGGGGCCGTTTGTAAATCCATCTGGCAGTTTTAACGGTGACCACACGGACCCTCTGATCCTGTCCAGGATGATATTGTACGTCTCGTCCCAACAGCCGGATGTCTATCTCTAGCAGGAAGAGTATAAGTCCCAGTAGCGTGGAGAAGGCCCACGCTGTTTCAATATACCAATGCAGATGCTCGTGCGGAGATTCATGGACCAGGAAATACTGTGCAGGTTACACACCGTCTCGATGTTTGGCAGCATACTGGTGCTGATCATAAGGGCCAGCATGTGCACCGCAACCAGGAGGGTGGTGCAGATGGCGAAGGCTATCAGCAATCCCGGTGGTACACTTGTGTCGGGATCCAGTTGCACTTCCACCATTGCCACCATGGCAAATCCTGAGATCAGGGCTGATAACTTCCTGGAAGCCTTGAGCTTGGCCCGACTCAGCTGAAGTTTCCTCCAGGATAGATACGTGGGCGAGTAGAGATCCTCGCCGGACTGCGACATGCTGCTGCTGGCGGTGCGGTGATGACCGCGCGGCTGAAAGCGGTAGGATTGATTCTGTTGGTAGGTGGGCAACTGAAAGGGCGGCGGCTGGGCCGCCAATGGAGGATAGTGGTGCGAGTGATCCTAGTGGCGGTATTGGTGCTACTGCTGAAGCTGCTGCCGCTACCGCTGAAGCCGCGAATGCAGGCAAGCCGTCTCGCTGCACAGTGAAGCGTCTCGTTTGCGGCGAATTTGAATTGAACTGGCTGTGATAGAGGAACCGCGACGACCCAAGAAAATTGATCGCTCTGAGATTGCCCAGTTGGTAAGCGGGCAGCTGGGTGATCTGGTGGGACTGGTGGGGCTGTTGGTGGATTTGACTGAGGTTTGGATTTTGGCGCATATGATCGCCGTAGTCGCCGGTTGACGCTGTGGCTGTAGGCGCCGCCGTATAGGCATCCACACTGGCCGCCAATCTGGCAGTTTCATGCAGAGCGCTCGCCAAGGCCGAAGGTTGCTGCCGAATCCCCTTGCGGTTCGGCTGCGGATGCGCATGTTCCATCTCCATGAAAGAGCGAACTAGGGAATCCAAATCTTCGTAAGCGTGGTGAACTTGTGCTTTCGTAAGTGGTTCGCCACAATGATTATAGCTGCCTGTAATAACCCAACCAAAATTAGTATGTAGCGCAATGGGGTATTCAATAGCAAACTCTCGGCGATGTCCAGTATAGATGTTCCACAGTTGATCAGCGCCTAAAATAACGTCGATTTTTTCCGGTGATCCAAACGTCGGGTCAGCTAACGGTAAGTTGCGAATCTTGGTCCAGACAGAAGCGGTGGATTTCACCTGTTGAGCGGGAATCAAAGAAGTCAGAGAACTCATAATTAGGCCAGAGACCTCCAATGAGGCAGTCGTAGTCCTTGAAAGCAAAGTGAAGCTAGCGCGACCTCGGCTAACTCCAGCCGGGTTAGCACCTAATCCAATAACTGAGATGCGAGCATGCGTGCGTGGAATTCCAATCCGTTGGATAAACGACTCAGCTACCATGGTTATTGTTGATCCAGTATCGAGCAATATCCTACATGAGGTCTTGTTGCCACATGTGTCAACTACATTAGCTAGAATAGTTGGCAGTAGGGCTTGATTGTTGTCCCTCTCCACAGTATGATGGCTGACAGCAGCAGTATTTAAACCAACAGGATCAATCGAAGGACATATATTAACCTCAGCCGCAGACATATGGGCGGAGGCCAACGGAATCGATCTAGACTCTTCCGGGTGGACTAGCGTGTGATGCTTAGCGTTGCACTGACGGCAAGTGTTCGAAGAATTACAATTCTTGACTTGCTGAGATCGACTTAGGCAATTAAAACAAAGCTTAGTATCCCTGGCAAAGGTACGGCGATTTACGACATCCAGGGCTTTGAATGCAGTACATGCGTATATATTGTGCTGTCTTTGACAATATATGCAGGATTAAGTAAAGTGCTTCCCCATCGAAATAAGATTTCAAATAATGAAACTTTTGGCACTTGGAAAGCTTTTCGTTATTATTCACTGAGCTTAAGAACAAATCACTAAATTGGCTCCAATCCACGTATTTGCCAGGAAATGTGGGAATACTAATTTTCCCAAACCTTAAATCAGCTGCTCCCGATGAGGTATGAATTCGTTCCAGAAGTTGGTTTAGTCCCTCAAATAGACGTTCCACTGTACTTGATAATAAAATGTTCGACTGGTCTTGTCCATGATCTTGACCCCCCATTTCGTTTATGGCTTTAATAAATATGGCATGCGCTCTGTAAAACTTGTCTTCGTACTCAGGTATATCCAATCCAGGGTCTTCATATCCCTCCTCCTGGTTATATACCACTAAATCATCGGAGAGGTCCATAAAGTGGTTGAAGGTGGCTACAAGACGATACAGCATCAGTTGCAATGCTTCCACATTATCACATTCCTGCGAAAACTCCACAGCACTGTTAAGGGTACGAGTTATTTGCCCCTTGCAGGCACGACGTTGTTGAATTGACCGATGCATTACAGAGTTCATGACGGCGGCTAGTTTGTCTTTTATTATTCACAAATAAACTCGAATTCAACGCAGAATATTCGGCTCGAAGGACCAAAAATTTGTTATGTTGGCGAATTAAGTGGACTGTATTTCTTTTTTCTAGGATTCGAGTTTATTTCTTAATTATAAGCGGGTTTACAATATGTTAAGCGGGGCAAGTTGCAAGCGGTTGCGAGCGAGTACAAAAACTATATATATTAAGCGGGACAGGTTGCAAGCGGTTGCAAGCGAGTCAAAAAGTATATATAAAGCGGGGTAAGTTGCAAGCGGTTGTGATCGAGTCAAAAACTATATAAGGCGGGGCAAGTTGCAAGCGGTTTCGATCGAGTCAAAAACTATACAAATAACTGCCGAAAAAATGTGCAGAAAAGATAATGCAGAAAAACGCGTGATACTAATGCAAATTTACTCCAATTTCGTCTATGCGTGTGAACTGCAAGCTTGGAGACGAAAAACAAAACAATGATGTGCATTTAACTAGCTACGATTAAAACAACAATACAATGATGAGCATTTAACTAGTTGCGATTTGACAATAATACAATAATGCTAAATGACCGATCTATTCTTCAACATACCGGCCCCCCTGATCGACGGTTCAGTTCAAAGGAAGCACAAATTCGGAATGGGGCCGTTTGTAAATCCATCTGGCAGTTTTAACGGTGACCACACGGACCCTCTGATCCTGTCCAGGATGATATTGTACGTCTCGTCCCAACAGCCGGATGTCTATCTCTAGCAGGAAGAGTATAAGTCCCAGTAGCGTGGAGAAGGCCCACGCTGTTTCAATATACCAATGCAGATGCTCGTGCGGAGATTCATGGACCAGGGAAATACTGTGCAGGTTACACACCGTCTCGATGTTTGGCAGCATACTGGTGCTGATCATAAGGGCCAGCATGTGCACCGCAACCAGGAGGGTGGTGCAGATGGCGAAGGCTATCAGCAATCCCGGTGGTACACTTGTGTCGGGATCCAGTTGCACTTCCACCATTGCCACCATGGCAAATCCTGAGATCAGGGCTGATAACTTCCTGGAAGCCTTGAGCTTGGCCCGACTCAGCTGAAGTTTCCTCCAGGATAGATACGTGGGCGAGTGGAGATCCTCGCCGGACTGCGACATGCTGCTGCTGGCGGTGCGGTGATGACCGCGCGGCTGAAAGCGGTAGGATTGATTCTGTTGGTAGGTGGGCAACTGAAAGGGCGGCGGCTGGGCCGCCAATGGAGGATAGTGGTGCGAGTGATCCTAGTGGCGGTATTGGTGCTACTGCTGAAGCTGCTGCCGCTACCGCTGAAGCCGCGAATGCAGGCAAGCCGTCTCGCTGCACAGTGAAGCGTCTCGTTTGCGGCGAATTTGAATTGAACTGGCTGTGATAGAGGAACCGCGACGACCCAAGAAAATTGATCGCTCTGAGATTGCCCAGTTGGTAAGCGGGCAGCTGGGTGATCTGGTGGGACTGGTGGGGCTGTTGGTGGATTTGACTGAGGTTTGGATTTTGGCGCATATGATCGCCGTAGTCGCCGGTTGCCGCTGTGGCTGTAGCCGCCGCCGTATAGGCATCCACACTGGCCGCCAATCTGGCAGTGGTATGCAGAGCGCTCGCCAAGGCCGAAGGTTGCTACCGAATCCCCTTGCGGTTCGGCTGCGGATGCACCTGTTCCATGTCCATAAAAGAGCGAGCTAGGGAATCCAAATCTTCGTAAGCGTGGTGTACTTGTGCTTTCGTAAATGGTTCGCCACAATCATTATAGCTGCCTGTAATGACCCAACCAAAATTAGTATGTAGTGCTATGGGGTATTCAATACCAAACTCTCGGCGATGTCCAGTATAGATGTTCCACAGTCGATCAGCGCCTAAAATAACGTCGATTTTTCCCGGTAATCCAAACGTCGGGTCAGCTAACGGTAAGTTGCGAATCTTGGTCCAGACAGAAGCGGTGGATTTCACCTGTTGAGCGGGAATCAAAGAAGTCAGAGAACTCATAATTAGGCCAGAGACCTCCAATGAGGCAGTCGTAGTCCTTGAAAGCAAAGTGAAGCTAGCGCGACCTCGGCTAACTCCAGCCGGGTTAGCACCTAATCCAATAACTGAGATGCGAGCATGCGTGCGTGGAATTCCAATCCGTTGGATAAACGACTCAGCTACCATGGTTATTGTTGATCCAGTATCGAGCAATATCCTACATGAGGTCTTGTTGCCACATGTGTCAACTACATTAGCTAGAATAGTTGGCAGTAGGGCTTGATTGTTGTCCCTCTCCACAGTATGATGGCTGACAGCAGCAGTATTTAAACCAACAGGATCAATCGAAGGACATATATTAACCTCAGCCGCAGACATATGGGCGGAGGCCAACGGAATCGATCTAGACTCTTCCGGGTGGACTAGCGTGTGATGCTTAGCGTTGCACTGACGGCAAGTGTTCGAAGAATTACAATTCTTGACTTGCTGAGATCGACTTAGGCAATTAAAACAAAGCTTAGTATCCCTGGCAAAGGTACGGCGATTTACGACATCCAGGGCTTTGAATGCAGTACATGCGTATATATTGTGCTGTCTTTGACAATATATGCAGGATTAAGTAAAGTGCTTCCCCCATCGAAATAAGATTTCAAATAATGAAACTTTTGGCACTTGGAAAGCTTTTCGTTATTATTCACTGAGCTTAAGAACAAATCACTAAATTGGCTCCAATCCACGTATTTGCCAGGAAATGTGGGAATACTAATTTTCCCAAACCTTAAATCAGCTGCTCCCGATGAGGTATGAATTCGTTCCAGAAGTTGGTTTAGTCCCTCAAATAGACGTTCCACTGTACTTGATAATAAAATGTTCGACTGGTCTTGTCCATGATCTTGACCCCCCATTTCGTTTATGGCTTTAATAAATATGGCATGCGCTCTGTAAAACTTGTCTTCGTACTCAGGTATATCCAATCCAGGGTCTTCATATCCCTCCTCCTGGTTATATACCACTAAATCATCGGAGAGGTCCATAAAGTGGTTGAAGGTGGCTACAAGACGATACAGCATCAGTTGCAATGCTTCCACATTATCACATTCCTGCGAAAACTCCACAGCACTGTTAAGGGTACGAGTTATTTGCCCCTTGCAGGCACGACGTTGTTGAATTGACCGATGCATTACAGAGTTCATGACGGCGGCTAGTTTGTCTTTTATTATTCACAAATAAACTCGAATTCAACGCAGAATATTCGGCTCGAAGGACCAAAAATTTGTTATGTTGGCGAATTAAGTGGACTGTATTTCTTTTTTCTAGGATTCGAGTTTATTTCTTAATTATAAGCGGGTTTACAATATGTTAAGCGGGGCAAGTTGCAAGCGGTTGCGAGCGAGTACAAAAACTATACGAGGTGTGTTCAAAAAGTAAGGTGACTCTTCAAATTTCGCGAATTTCAAATTTTTCGATTATCGATTTTTTTGTTTTGTTATATTGGTACACTCTTCCCTAACATCTGTACCAAGTTTCAATGGAACATCCTCTTTTGTTTGGTTGTGAGAGGCGTAAAGTTACAAGTTATTTTGCGAGCTCGGCGATTTTTTGCTATCGAAAAATATGGATCAAAGGATTTGGATTTTTTGGCCAAAAACAACACCACAATAATGCCTCAGCCACCATATTCACCGGATTTGGCCCCATGTGACTTTTTCTTGTTCCCAAAACTGAAGATAATCGAAAAATTTGAAAAATTTGAAATTTGAAAAGTCACCTTACTTTTTGAACACACCTCGTATAACTTCTAAAAGGTTTCGATAATCGAAAATTTTGAAATTCGCGAAATTTGAAGAGTCACCTTACTTTTTGAACACACCTCGTATATATTAAGCGGGGCAAGTTGCAAGCGGTTGCGATCGAGTCAAAAACTATTTATGTATAAGGCGGGGCAAGTTGCAAGCGGTTGCGATTGAGTCAAAAACTATACAAATAACTGCCGAAGAAACGTGCAGAAAATATAATGCAGAAAAACGCGTGATACTGCAATGCAAATTTACTGCAATTTCGTCTATGCGTGTGAGCTTCAAGCTTGGAGATGAAAAACAAAACAATGATGTGCAGTTAACTAGCTACGATTAGAACAACAACAATGATGAGAATTTAACTAGTTGCGATTTGACAATAATACAATAATGCTAAGTGACCGATCTATTCTTCAACA